GGGCGATCCAAGCGAGGAAGCGGCAGTAGGAGTTTTGGTAAGTAGCTTTTGAGCACTCGCTAACGGTATTGTCGCAAATTTCGCTTACTGTTTGCTCTAACTCCTGGCCTTCCATTCTGGTTGGACGAGTGTCTGCCTTCTTCTGTGCGAATTGCGATGTGCGATGTTCGCCTTAGATTCAGACAGGGGGAGAAACCGAATTTTTCAGAAAATGTCAGACGCAATGCTCAACGCTAATCACTAGGATGGGTTCACTGTCGAACACATTTTGGGGAATGTGTCTTCGTATATGGTGCTCATTTTTGCAAAAAGTTCTGTGAAACACGAACACAAACGTTTTATCGCTAACTATGCCTTTTTGCCGAAATGGAAGTTGTAATATCACAGTACGATGGTTATTTCTTATAAATTTGTGTCGCGATACAAAACTCAGTCCAGTCTCCACGATACGGTTTCAGAAGTCAAGATGATAATAAGAAAATCGATTTTCAAAGGTGGTGTGCATTGTGGTGAGGGGCAAGATAAAACAAGCGGCGGCGTCAATGTGCCGATTAATATATATAATCAGGAGGTGCAACTTACTCATGTCGATGAGGCTTGTGGCCTGAGAGATTTCCCAATGACTCAGCTAATATTTTGCGCATAACCTGTGCTTATCGATAGAACAAGCTCTCCTCTAGATTTAGGCACAAGCCTTGTGACAGTCACAAGTAATGTGAATGATACACATTTATTGAGTATTTTTGACTTGTACTGGTGCACGTGAATCGTACTCAAAAAGACAAGGTTATGGTCGTAAATATCGCGATATAGACTAGGTATGACGCTATACAACTATAACAGGGTCGTTCATACCATGCCGAATTGTCCCGGATAAAAGACAGATATCCACACCTCAGCGGCATAATTCGCGAATGTTACACTTTTTGCACCTGTGACCTACTGGTTTTGACTGAATACGCTGATATTTGCGTACATATATTGGTTACACGACATACTATGTCGGATATGAAGGTATTTTAGCTGCAATAAGCTTTGCGCATGCTACATGTAATTGTCAGAAATGAATGCGATTTAATTCAGGTAATTTGTGAAAGCTCGACTTTGAAATACTTCAAAGTTCACAGTAGCAGCATCCAAATTTGATTATCACTTGTAGAAATTCATGTTGTTACTTACGAAATAAGTAAGAAGTCTGTGAGACCTCACATAGGATATTGACTTTGAGATTCTCGCATGGATATTAGGAGAGTCTCAAATTATCACCCAATCAGAGATTATCTCTGCAGCTCAAAACGAAACATTGCGTAGCATCGTTGATCCGCTGAAACATGTTCTAGTTTCTAGATCGAATGAATATAACGAGTTGTTCGACCACTACGTGTGAAATAATCCTATTGTCGGTGATCTTTGACGATGGTTAATGTATACATCGAGATTAGATGCAAAACCTTTATTCAAAGGTACTCGGTACCTAGAACGCAGTCATGGATGAAATTCAGCAGAAAGACAGGGTGAACCATATTCATTTATTAGGTATTGATCTCCGAATACCAATGGCTACTACTGCTTGATCTAGATGACGTCATAAAGCATTCTACTTGTGTAGCTTTGCTTCAGCTTGCAGTCCTTTGTTCATTTTCCTTTATTCTCCGGACCACGCAGTCAGACCAATAATTCCTTTTATTACGCGATGGTTAGCATCGTTCGTGTGGCAATTATATGCAGTGTTGTCACGAAGACTGGATAGTGCCCATGCCGTAGGGGTCAATATGCAACCGGGTTTTCAAACTTGGGTCAAGCACGGTACGAGCAAGGGTGAAGACGTTGGGGCCAGTCCCGACGGGGATCATCATGATCGGCACTTCTTCGTTCTCGTCGAAATTGTAGTCCACATCATCCGTCTTGTACTCGTAACGGAGATCGGCTCGTACCAGGGACGCGCTCGTCCACGAGCTACGTCACGGTTCCGGCTGTTGCCACTACCACTTACTCGACGGGGTTCAAGACTTACCACAATGCTATTACTGCGGACACGTTTGAACAACCTCTAGGTACTGTGTTGAGGCGGTTAAAGCTCGCAGCATGGTGACTGGGATGGTCGTGACATGCCGTGTTGACCCACACTGTAACGGACTAACCGGCACCCGTTACAGACGTACACAGAAGCATAAGAAGCGATGGAAATAAAACTCTGGTTGATTGACGAGACGGCCTTGGCCAGCAAGGGCGCCACAGCCATTAAAGCTATTCTTGGGATCTGATTGGCCACCGCGCACTCGCGGTGGCAACCGTGTGACAATACCCTGTCACACCACCCCTACTAAATTTCGAAGATACGTACTGGAGAAACGTGGCCACTGCGGTGGCGGTCACTCAACAACTTGAGCTCGGGAACGAAGACTGACAGCAGCGACTTCAACTATGGCTGACGCAGACGGTGAAGGTGGCGCGGGGGACAGGCCCGCGCCGGGGCCGCAAGACTTAGCCACGTACGCGGAAGAGCTGGGAAGATGGGTCCTGTACGACTACAGCGGACTTCGCGAGGCGTTGAGCGACGATGAGATGAGGAGTCTCTTCCATTGGCATCGCCAGACTTGCGGTAAACCGGTCACGGCAACACGGACCGTGGCGATGACGTAGCTCGACCAAGCCTGGACATCCTTCGTGCAACGGTGGAACAATGAGGGAGCCACCAGGTTCATCCCTTCCCTTGAGAGGCGCAAAGCAGAGCATCGAGCGCGGCCTGTGAGCGCGCTGGCGAAGCGGATTCATGACATCGCCTACGACGCCGACCGGGACTGCTGCTATATGCGCTACGCCTGGGGTTGTGTCTGGTGTCGTGACAGCGGGCGTAGAAGACCCAACGAAGACGGGTGGGGGCAGATGCGCGAGGACTACCTGACCGCGGAGGACGAAAAACAAGTAGTGGACCAGTATCGTAATGCCGAGGACCAAGCTAGACGCGGCGGACGTCCGCGCCAGGCCTGCCGCCGTTGGAACCGCCGCCTCGTACGCCGCAACGCAATCTGGAACGTCCTCGAGCAGCACCGCTTGAGGCTCCCAACGATCAGGCATGGGGCCAAGCCACCGCACGAGATACTGGCGGTGAGGCAGGATTGGACCGTCGCGGGCAACGCGACCGGGACCCGTACGTGCGTGCTGGGGGACGGCACGATGATCATCGTGCCCCAAGGTCGCCTCGACAATATGGCGAGTACGGCCAGCACCATCGACAAGGGGTGCCGGACCATCGCGCTGGAAACGCGGCGCAGGATCGACAGCGCGCAGCGGAGCGGCTGACGCGACTGGAGAGTGAGATGGCGGATTTGCGTCGCGAGCTGGATGTGGTGCAGGAGCCTCCGCGCGAGGAGCGGGGGCGTCAAGACTGGCGGGAGACAGCACCGTGGGAGTACCAACGGGGCTAGGAATGACAGTGTGGGGATAACGTCGGAGGTGACCGACGTAGAAGGTCGGATGGAGCCGCAGAGCAGTAGGTAACTGTAGCGTGTAGTCGTCACCTAATACCTTTAGTATCTTGAAAGGCCCCATAAATCGTGGCGCGAGCTTGTTCGCGCCCAAGTTTGTCACTAAAGTGGGTTGGATGCCGGCCGTGGACAGTAACACACAGTCGCCCACGGCAAATTTCTCCATGTTCTTGCGACCGCGACAATCGGCATTCTCCTTCTGTCTATCAACTGCAATTGCGATGGCGCCCCGAACATATTGCGCAACAGACTGACGTCGGTCAAGAAACGCGTTGACCGCCGCAGTGTCAGCCGACTGTGGCTCCGGATTGGGGTCGAAATTTGCTGGTGGTGGCGCGGCGACGCCTGTGGGTCCGTTGCCTCGTGATACTCGGTTGCACGACGACGCTGGCTCAGGTTGATCAGCGTCTGACTGGCCCAGGTCGCCCTCGCGGCAACACGTTCACGCAGCCCACGCGCCGTGGTCTCGGTTGATCTCTCTGGTGCTGTTCTTGTGGCGGCGCGCCTGCGCATGGCACGTGCTGCATCTCGGGCTCCATGACGAGTGGTGACTCCGTTCACCAGGGCGGAACCAGCCTCATGAGTGCTCTCACAACCAATTGTACCAGCGACTGCGGCGTCGCTTGAGTCACCACACTCGCCCAAGACGATTTTGTCACCGGCCTCGACTAGGAACATCGAGCGTTCCAACCCAAGGAGCGTTGGCACCTGGGGATGGTGACCGTAGTTGATGTAGAAGGGCGTGAGCCCCGTCGACGCGTGCTCGGCGTTGTCGATAGTGAACTCGACCATGGGTAGGAAGGAGCTCCATGACTTAAAAGACGTGACGAAGCTCCTCAGGACGTCTTCGACTACCCTGTTCGCGCGTTCGGTTTGGCCGTCCATCTCTGGATGTGATGCGGTGGACATCTTCAACCGCGTCCCCAACATCTTGAAGATCCTGTCTAGAAGGCAGCGATGAATCTCGGATCCCGATCGGAGACCATCGAACTCGGTAGGCCGTGGTGCCGATACACGATGTCGAGGAAGATCGCCGCGGATTGCACTGCGGTGACTGAGTCGGTGACTGGAGCAAGGTGCACCATCTTGCTGAAGCGGTCAACAAAGACGAGAACACCAGTGCAGCCTTGAGCGAGAGGCAGTCTGAAGTCAAAGTCCATTTTCACCGAGGACCACGGATCGGTCGCGACGGGGAGTGGTCGAAGGGGCGCTCGCTTCGACGGAGACGACTCCACACGCCGGCACGCTTCACACGAGCGTACCCACTTCCGCACCCACTTGTACATATGCGGCCAGTAGAAGTCGCGAGATAGCGACGTGAACGTTTTCTCGCGTCCACCACTCGAGGTGTCGTGGAACTCATGTATTAAACGAGCACGAAGATCGTCGTCCAGTGGGACAACGATGCGCGGAGGATCCGAGCGGTCGACGCAATATGTTAGTAGGTTGTCACCCAGAGCGTAGTGATCGACACGGGCGCGGCTACGCAAAGACAGTCGGCGTCGCGCCGTGTTTGACGGGTCCCGTAGGTACTTCAACATCTCGGCGCACTCTGCATCCGAGCCGTACGCAGTCGCGATCATATCACGCAGTGGACTGGTCGCAGCAACCTCGCCCGCAGCTACTCCTTCGGCGACACACACAGCACACTCGTCGTCATCTTTGCCGCCAATCGCGTGACGACCTGACTGCACGTAGTCTGGCCGACGCGATAACGCGTCGGCGAGGATGTTTGTCTTGCCCGGCTTGTAATGGACGACAAAGTTGTACTCGTAGAACAGGGACAGCCAGCGTGCCATGCCCTCGGACAAGTGAGGGCTCTTCGTCGCTGTCCTCAGTGACACGTGATCTGTGTAGATCGCGAAGGTTTTCTCACCCAGGAGATACACGCGGAACTTGATGAGTGCGTAGCGCATGGCAAGCAGCTCCTTATCATGGGCTGGATAGCTCCATTCCGCCTGCTTCAGTTGACGAGATTGGTAACTCACCACTCGCTCGCGTCCATCGTTGTCAAACTGCATCAAGGCGCAGCCGATCAAGAAGTCACTCGCATTGCACACAACATGGAAGGGCTTCGTGTGATCAGGAAGCATCAGGACGGGCGCGGTTGACAAACTCGTCTTCACCGCATCGAAGGACGTTTGGTGCTCGGGGCACCACGACCACGTGGCGTCTGGCTTCCAAGTTGAGACAGCCGTTGGATGGCCAGCGCGAAGTTCTTCGAGTAATTATGGAGATACGTCGCGAGTCCCAACCACGGTCGAACCTGCTTCTGGTTCTGAAGCACGGTCCAAGCGCAGATGGCTTCAATCTTCTCAGGGTCAGCGCGTACACCTTGCTTGCTGACGTAGCTCCCAAGCACTGGTATCTCTGGAGCGCAGAAGATACACTTCTTCAAGTTGGCGTGCAACTTGTTCTCCCGCATCACCTCAAACACTTGGTGGAGATGATCCAGATGTACCTCGACGTCGGTCATGCCGTCCTCGGCACGACTGTGGATGAAGATATCGTCAAAATAGCTGGGCGCAAACTCTTAGTATGGACGTAGCAGGTTTGACACGTTTCTGTTGAAAGTGGCCGGGGCGTTCTTAAGCCCCTGCGGCATCACCAACCATTCCATAGCATCCCGCTCAGTGTGCTGACAGCAGTCAACGACACGTCTTCTTCACGCATGAGGTTCCGATAGAACCCGTCCATCAGATCTATGGCACTGTACTTCGTGCTGCCAGACATGGTGTCGAGCACCATGTCTTCCGTGGAATTGGCGTTTGTACTGGAATGGTGGCATCGTTCAGCCTATTAAAGGCGTGAACTATCCGCCATCCGCCGGTGGCCTTCTTCACACAGAAGGTCGGACTGGAATGTGGAGATAGATTTTCACGTACGTGACCGGCTTGCCGGCGACTCTCGAAGAAGGCATCAATTGTCTCTACTTGATCTCGGGAAAGCGGCCACTGCCGCGTTACACAGTACTTGGCACCGGGCACGAGGTCGATCTCGTGCTGGACCCCACGATTAGGGGGAAGGACGGCTGGGACCTTGTCCGAGAAGATGTCAATGTACTCCCGGACGAGAGGAGCGACGGGGTTGCCGGAGGACTCGAGTGCCGGCAACGATTGAGCAGCGTAGCGCGCCTCATTGGCGCACTTCGGCTCGGCCCCTTTCAGTCCAGTCCTGGTATCGGACGCTCGGTCATCGGCGTCGACTTCGACAGCTGCGGCAGACGCAGTGGCTTCGTGCATGAACATGCACACTTGCTCGATGCCGCCCTTCTTCAGGTCGCTCAGGAAATGTTTGCATGGGAGATCAGGCAACTGCATGATCGCTGCTGCGTCACGTGGAGGGTGTCCAACCGCGATGTCGCACACGCGGGACGGTCCCGAGGATTTCACAAGAACTGAGATGACTTCAGCCTCAGTGCCAACTGAGTCGTTTAAAAGCACACGAGGTCGTCGGGGTTTGCTGCGGCCTCGGCGCCGAACAGGGCGTGGAATGTCGTCCACGGCAGCAGACGATGAGAGACCACGCTCGATCATGACTGCGGAACTTGGGCATCGGGACATTTCACCGGTGCGAACACGGGGGACGCACGACTTGAGTGCGTCCACTTCAACAGGGAGCTCCCGCTCGACCACTCGCGGGAACACACGCTCGACCACTTGTGGGAGGCCACGCTCAACCACTTCTTCCTTCTCTTCTTCAGGGAGTTCCCGCTCGACCACACGCGGGAACTCATGCTCAACCGCGAGTGGGAGATCATACTCAACCACATCAGTGTCATCCGATAGCCGCTGCTCATCAGAACGTGGGAACCACTGTTTAACCACGTTGGACACGTCTTGAGACCCCTCCTCAGGACCGGCACAAGCTGCATGTTTGCACACCGCACACGATGGGCCATCGCACTCATCGTGAGCAGCGGAGGTCATGGAGTCGGGGTCCATGACCGCAACATGTGGCCATGTGTTGGGCATCCCGCTCAGAGACATTCACGTCAATGTCGCGCGGACGGACAGTCTTGGTTAGCCAGTCAATGTGGGGCTGGTGACAAGGGAGTCACGGGATCCCGAAGATGCAGTCGAACGAGCCACTCAGCTCGATAGCCATGAAGTTGTCTGACCCGCGAAAGCCATCAAACTCGTACTAGAAGGTGGCCGAGCGTCTCGGCAGCCGCCGCGGCTTGCCGTATGCATACTTCACAACCACGTGACCTGGGCCTTCACGTATAGGCATGTCCGTCGGTAACACCGACAAACTTTCGCGCGAACAATATTTTTCGCTACTACGAAGACTTTAATGGAATTGTGGAAGACAATGTCCTGCAAGATCTGATAGGAAGTGAAAAGGGGGATGACTCAGGCTACATAAACAGAATGGAGGTTCGGTGTCGTCTATTCGTGGAAAACGTTCAGCCCTCTATCCTCAAGGCTCAGATTTCTCGACTTCTCGATTTAGAGAGGCGTGACTGTAAATCTGATGATGTCACCCTCTTTGATCTGATACTACAACATGTGAAGGTGCAACAGCGGTTCCATCCGATTTCGCATGATTATGCTGCGAAAACCGATATCAAACCGGTAACGTTGGAACGGAGCGCAAAATAGTCGAGCGATGTTTCTTTTCCTCGCGATACTTGCGGAGTGCTTCTTCACATTGGACAATGGTTGCTGTTGGGCAGTCTGTCAGCCAATGAGATTTCCTGCAGAACAAGCAGCCTAAAGACTGACACTATCAGTGCAAAACCCGAACCGACACGATCGACGTTGCCAGCGCCCTCATCGTCCATCCCTGCGCGAGCACCTCCAGTGCCTCATCCTCCACCTCAGGAAGGCGTTATTATTTTACTTTAAAAAACGTTGCCTTATCTGGAGGGAGACTAGATATCGCTCTTAGTGCATCGTTTCGAATGAGTTTTTCTCCTGGATACCTACGATTGGCTTGTAAAAGGTGTGATGATACCAATATGTCCTTTGATTTGGTTGGGATGCGATCGTAAAATACGTCAGTTGAAGTTGGGATGCTATAGTACATGTAGTTTCCAGTACCACGTATGTTCCGCGTGCTTTACCCAGCTAAGCGTGCGTTAGGGCTTGCAGGCTTCCTCACGTTAGCGTCATTATCCTTTCTAGATCATGCCCATCAAGCCAAAGCCAACTCCACCTGCGAAGAGCTCCAGCCGTAACGTGAAGGTAAAAGCAGCCTCGCCGATAGTGGGTGCTGCAAGGCTGCCAGCGTCCTAAGCAATGCAAACGCCAACAGTGGCATCGACGCAGCGCCTCACTCCTCAGCAGCGCCTTAAACAAATAGTGGCAAACCAGCCCCAACGAAACTCGAGTCTGTCGGTAGTCTCATGCGTTGAAGGTATGGCTGTCGTTCGCGCTTGCGTTTTAGTCGGTGGGTAAAAGTTGTTGTCGGAAATTGTATCAGGAACTGCTTAAGACTGACAAGGCTAACGAGAGAATCGCCATGGAAATGAAGCTATTGTGGGCGTCGGATCACACGTACAAGCAGTGGAGTTTAACATGACTTCACTTCGCGGATGCGGCAGCGCCGGGGCTGCTCCACGATCAAGTTCAAGTAATTATGCTAGCTGCTGGCAGTGATAAACTTAAACTCATGTTGAACCGTGGTGTGCGCAGGTGTTTCAACAGCAGTAGGACGCAAACTCAGACGCTGTCAAGTGGTGTTGGTGACCACAATGTGGAATTTGGTGTACACATCCTAAGACCTGCCTCCGCCCAGCTCCATCGTTCGCATCAACAACTACTTGAGCTTGAAACGTTTCCGGGCCGAGCAGGGTCAAGCGACGGTGAAGCCTCCGAGACCTTACCTGGTCAAACGATGCTGAGCAGGCATCAGCATCATCTTAGTGTATTGTAGCAGTTCTTGTAGATGTGCATTAAATGCACTGCATTTACTTCGAGCATATCCAGAGAGACATTACACGAAAAAAGATCAAATCAAATAAGTATGGGGTCTACACAAAATAAATATCATTTCCGAATTCGCAGTCAATTGCCGAGAAGAGGTACGTCACGGGCCATTCTCTTGTCAACGGCGTGAATATAGGCTAACATAACTCGATGCAACAAGATGCCTAAACTGCGAGAGACCAGCAAATTACAATCTGGACGAGCAGGATCGACTGCTAGTAATTGCATCGGCTCAGTTACCTCACGGTCCAGACGACTGGGAAGCAGTAGCAGTGGTGTTTAACGCAGCTTTGGGGCCGAAGAGGAAGTCTCGCAGCGGCATAAGTCTCCGAAGGAAATTTACGAGTCTGTACAAGGAGGCGCGGATGGCAGGAAGTGAAAGCGGTTGCTCACGATCATTCGTCACGCCCGCAGCAGAGCTTAAGCTCAAGATTGATACCAGCAGGAAATATAATCGCGATATATCAGACTCTAGAGTGCAAGAAGTGCCGTCTCCTTCGGGGCACACATTATCCGAAAGACTCAATTTGGAGTCTGAAAATGCTGTTGCCAGAAGTCCATGTTATATCGATGATGTCGCGATGCCTGCAATGTATTATCATTGACATGACGGTCCTGAGAGCACAACAACTTTGGCGGCCGAAATTTCGTCGGGCATGGCAGGTACGCGACAGCATCACAAGCATCGTGTTTGCAGAATTCCTTGTGACTGGACGTATGGGTCACACACCGCAGGGATCTGTCGTTTGCAGTTCGCTTTCACCTTTTAAGGGAAGTCACTTGCATTGTGATTTTGTGCGATTTTTATCCATGTGCTTTCGGCAGCGCGATTAGGAGCAACATGTAACATGGCAAAACGCTCAGAAGAGATGACAACGAGAGAATGATGACTATCAACACCAGCGTGACCAAGACCGCGTTGACGCGAATCGAAGACACAACGAGCTGCTAGTATGTCTTGCTTCGCTTCAGCGTAAGTAGGGTTTGTTCAACATAGCCCCTCAGCATGAACTCCTCTGGGTTCTCTTTACCTTTACTGAACTAACTATTATTTGAGATCGAAGCCTACGAGCCACTTGTGAATTCCAATTGTTTCAAGCACCGAGTCAGTAGCTAGCAGAACTGACGTACTGCGGCAGCCCGCGTCTACTCTTTTGACTGGTGGGTATTTATCAGAAATGCACAATAGGTATTCGCTGGAGTCTCGATTCTTTCAATAGCGTTTTGCGTGGTGATTATCGCGTAGCGAAGGTGGAGAAGGTGCCCATACAATTGAATATTTAGCTCTTTGGATATTATTCTGACCATCCTTGTGTGGTGAAGTGGATCGGAAGTCCACGTGAATAAGATTAATTGGTTGATTGACGGAAAGGCAACAAGGGGATTATCCGGAACAATGACTACATATCCGGATCTGGATGATCCGGATCCTGCATGGGGATCGATGGCTAGTGGTGGGTCTGGATATATGGAGATATGTATCGGGGAGGTATGGACATGAAGGTGCCACCGAGGATCCAGAATACGAATGCTCGGATCCGCGGGTGGGGAAAATATGCGAGTACCCGGAAAGTTTGTGGATACACGGAGCCGGATCGTGGTGAAATATCAGGATCGCGCCGGATCCTGGATATACGCTTATTGATAGGCTTCTAGAGACTACGGAACACGAGGTTTGGACGGCGATCGAGAAGGGCAAGTGGGGATCCGGTTCCGGCGGATCCGACTTTGGAGTGTCGATTGCGCGCAGATCCCCAGATATAGCTATATCTTCCATAGAAGCAGTAATCAGACATGCGGATCATGAGTTGTAGAGGTAAGGCAGGCTATGGTATAGGACTTAGGAACAAAGGAGAATCGAACTTTGATCCACACTTAGTCTATTACGGACACCTCGGACAGGGATATTACATTGGTCCTACAAGGTGATCCGCGTGTTAAGAATATAGAATCTAGCGTTAGTTTGGATAACTGGATAATGCATTGGCCAGATCCGACTACCTAGTGACTTATTCTATACATGCAAACTCCGAACCCACGACATTTACTGCTTGGTCGGCGATCCTTCGATCTCTCCACAACAACTCAAGACTCAGTCATCGGAGACTGCAAGCAAGTAAAGGAATCATGAGTTCACGAACAACAAAGGCCTCAAGGACAGCACATCAAGGCAACACAACACGACCCGGATCAAGATCCGGCTACCGGTGATTTGCACTTGAACATTTGTGCAGACCCCGAATCCCTATAGCCGACAGCATAGCGAAGGCTTCCGCGCTGCTGATCACATCCCTGCGTCTCGCCAAGACGCTCGATCTTCATTCACTTGGACAGTCTCATGCAGTTACCGGAGGAGCAAGATCCAGTCCTACCCACGGGTTTACAAGGTGAGGAAGTTCAGCTGATCACGGATCATAGGAGTACCCCCCCCTCCTTTAGTCGGTGCCTTGGCACAGTGGCAAGCCGTATCCAGCATATTTTGTTGATCCCGCTCCACCACACTTATACAGGATGATGCCAGAGGAGACCAAGGCAAGAAGATGTGGGGCCAAGAGGACATTTTTTATTTGAGTGATGCTGTAAGTGGTGTCTCCAAGGCGCCAATTCGTCGGCAGGCTATGCGTGCTGGTGTCATGCAAATGGCTGGTTTATTGTATGGGGAGATTCGTGTTGTTGTGGAGGTCTTCGTGCCGAACCTGGTGCGTGACGCTATCGTCTACTCTGAACACGCAAACCGAAAGACCATCACCGCCATGGATGTTATCTTCGCGCTCAAGTACCAAGGCCGGTCATTCTACGGCTTCGAAAGATGTACGCTCTGAGCGTTTCATTTTATACTAACGTATTATTCAGCAAATGATTTCAAAAAATAAAATGGATAAATAAGTTGTTTTGCTTCAAAACTTGTTGGGTTAAACCAAACCCTTCGTCCTTCCTCCTCCAACCTTCTCATACTTACGCTCTCCTAGGAACTGACAGCAAGTGACTAGACAGCA